CTGCATGGACATAATTTTTTTTTAACTGTATGTAAGTTATAGCTCATGCCTGGGCATCACAATAATTACCTTGTGAAGCCTTTTAATTAGGAATGTACCAAAATTTTGACTGCTGAAACATTTTGGCCAAAAATGGTACCATGGGCAAAATACTGATAGTACCAAAAAAAAACGGCCGAAAATGTGCGTGCATTCCCAGCTTCTCTCCATGCTGGGCACTGGCTGAAAGCTTCCGTCTATGTCCCCTCCAATCCCCGCTGCTTTCCCACACCCGTGTCGGGAGAGGCAGTGGGGATCAGAGGGGATATAGAGTGGATCAATCTGCCAGGAGGCAGAGCAGGGCAATGTGGGGAGGAGAGGAGCTGTCAGGATACCGAGGGGGTGGTCTGGGGAGGGGAGCACGGCTGTTTTTTTTACATAGCCATAGTCGGGGTAACTGGGTGCAAATGGATGCCTTTCCGTTTACACCCGGCTGCCCATAGACTAGCCTTGGGCATCTAATCGGGTTTGCTTGAAAAACTGACAGGTGGACCCGGTCGGACCTTCCCTGTGAAAGGGGCCTAAGAGGTTTTATATTCAATATTTGGTGAAGGCCGAGACTTATCTACCATAAAATGTACCTATGGCGTCCCGCTCAGCTCCTGGCAACGGGTGACGTCACCGGTTGCCAGGATCTCGGCGGGACGCCAGCTACAGCATTGGAGGTACCGTCTCACTTTCAGATAAGTTGACAGAGTAAGGATTGTTTTGAACATTTGGAGAGACTTTTTATCTAATTTAGCACTGCTTATATTTGTTATAGCTCAAGTATTGGCAAGTCTTACCAATGCTTTATTAGAGATACATGACAGGTACCATTTTTTCAATAAGCCCCTAAATACCCTGTGCAGTTTCTTAGTACTACGTCACAAAGCTTCACCCCTCCACGACTATTTAACAAATGGAACCTCTCCGAATAAAATGGAATTGGCCGAAATTGCCCACAAGAAACATGGCCGCCAAACCTGTCGCAGTATTATTACTTGCCGCTGGCGCCGGCCAATCATGACAGGATGCGACCTGCGGAAGACAAGCCAATCTAAACCCATGTGGCCTGCGGTTTAGCCAATGGAATGCCGCTGCTTCGGCACATTGACAGGTAGAGGCGGGGATTGTGGTGACGTCACGCAGCGTGCGGTGTCAGTGTGGGGATGCGTGGAAGGTGAGTCTTGCAGAATGGATGAAGAGGAGGGAGGATCGGAGGAGGCCGTGCTGTTTCAGCAGCATCGCAAGGAGAAGAAGGATCTGCAGGGTGAGAATATGGGACAGGGGCGACCGAAGAGAACCTGTCATGTGTCAGCTCTGCATATGATTACCATTTTCCTAAAATGTGTGTGAACCTTAAACATGAGATTGTGTGGACCCAAAATTACCCTTTTATTTCTTTAAAGCTGACCTCCAGGTGCAAAATGTATATCTCAGTAGCCACAAAGAATATAAACCCACTTTGTGTGAGCCAAATGTCTTTACAAACTGAGATATTGCCTTGTAAATGTAGCAGTGACATCATCACTATACTGTACATCACCTGTGCAGAGAGCAGAGCTGTGGGAGGGGCCCAGCAGGCCCCACCCACTACAGAAAACGACAGCAGGGGGCGGATACAAGACCAGTCACCCAGCACAAGGAGAGCGAGCAGCAATGACCGGTCTTTATTATAGTAAGCTCCTGCACAGAGGCAAAGTTTCACACTGATTACTACACAGATCTGGAAGAAATACACAGGCATTCTGAATTTGAAATAAGAATACACATGGGTCTTGTATGAAAGTATTTGCTTATCCTACCGAGTAGCAAATACCTAGTGATCCTGCTAGTCCCCTTCTCTTCCTTTCTATTCCTAATTATGCCAACCATGGTAGTAGATTAATGGAGGTGTGGTTAGTCTATGTCAGTGGTTCTCAACCTGTGTAACCTCGGGACCCACATTTTTCCTTGGTCATTAAGTCGTGACCCAAAAATGATTCATTTCTGAGACATTTTCATTTATTCATTCAGCTCCTGTTCAGAGCTACAGCTGTGATAACACAACATAGGGAAACAGGAAGCTGCCCATACACAGTGAATGTGGCTACTACCCCGCCCTGCCCCCGCTTTAAAAAAAAAAATTTCAACTTTCACTGCCATACTTCCCTTGTGTATGGAGCAGTACCGTCACACTACCTGGATAATTGAACCTCCTTCCTTGGAGCCCGGGCCATCATGGACACACAGCCAGGGGTTGCGTCATCATACTGGTCTGGGCTCACGTTACTGCCGCACAGAATGTCATTTGCTTATCATTACGTGAGTGCCGTAAGAACCACCATAGGAGGAAGTGGATCCTGCTGACCATATAACCAACCAGAAGGCACCTAAAGAAAAGGTATGCATACTAAAAAAAAAGTGTTAAGCACTTGGGTGTGGGGGGGGG